CAGTGGTCTCTAGTGCGAGTTTCTTAAAAAGGCTTCTTTATTGTTCATATTCGGTGCTTGTGCTTCTATATTTCTGATAGACCTTCAACTCAAATCAAGAAAAGAAAAAAAATGCATTCTCAAAGCAGTTTTTGGACACATAAAATACAAAAGTGAAAAAGCCATGGAAAATAGTAAGGAAAGCATTACATGAACATTCTAAATCGAAGAAGAAGAAACTACGAAAAAAACACAGATACCCAAGCCTATCCCAAAGGAAAACGAGACGACACTTAACAACCCAACTTAAACCGTACTCCCCGAATAGGTTAATTTACCAGCAAAAAAGTTGATACTACTATTAACTTCTGGAGACGAGACGAATTCTAGGTTCAAAAAATACGCCATTGTGAACAGATCAAGGAGAATATTGGTGGAAATCGAATGCTCAATTTTGTTAGACCAAAATTTATGTAGTATTAATTTGTAAGGGTTTGAGATCTCTACAAGCCACTATATCCTAAGTCCTAACAAGACATGCACTGTTTAGAAACAACACTAGTTGATCTAAGTACACAATTTAAAGCCTAGTACCCTGTAGCTTTGCTGTTGAATAGTCAAGAGGCTTTTGCATTTCTTCCATTTCTTTTACTGATGGCTTCACATAACCTGCAAGGCAAGGTATCCAGACTAGCTGCCCGTGTTTTTCTATAGTTACCCAGCACGCCACATCTTCTCCAAGCATGGTACTCTGCATAAGCTACTGGATTATTAGCAATGGCCTTAACGTACGAGGCCAATTCCTCCAAAGAGCTAAACTTGCTTCCATCAATTATTGAATGTGGAGGTACAAAGTCCCAGACATTCGGGGCACCAAAATAAATGGGGACTGCACCAGAGTCCAGTGCGTAAAATAACTTCTCTGTTACATAACTTTCTGTCTTGGTGTTCTCAATCGCAAGGACAAACTTGTAATGTGACATTGCGCAATGCAAATGATCCCACCATTTGGGTGCTTCATTAGAATCCTTGATACACTCAGGATAAAATGAGAGTGCCTTGTCTAGACCTCCAACATTGTTCAGGCACTTGCCAAATGAATGGGAGGGTAGCAAGCTGAGTAGACGTTTGGCAAGCTGGTTCCTTTGAGGAAGACAACGTGATGAAGACCAGTAAACAAGAGTATCCTACAAATTTACAAATCACTGGAGATTACAACAAGCACTGTAAAGAATAAGTAAGTAATATCATTAAGCTCAATGACTGAATATGGTACAGGAAATTAAAAGGAACAAAGTGGTCTTTGACTTACATTGTTCTTATAAGGAGAAAGGTGATAATTCCGATTGTTATGAAAAAGTGCGCCCGCATAGGTTGACTGGACATCGTCTTCTGCATGATAGCCAATAAATATATCCTCATACCCTGATTTCTTTCTACCAGCTTCAAGATCCATGTATACACGTAATGGATCACCTCGACGTCTCTGATAAGTTAAATAACAATTGTGAGGAGGTTGGAGTGAAGAAAAAAATGCATACTGTGTGCGACCAGTAAAAGTTTTACGTAATTCAGATTTACCGCGGGGATCTCAGCAAAGAAGAAAGGTAGTTCTCCCCTCCATTAAATGGAGAGATTTAAAAATAAAGGATGAGGGAATAGACCAGAGATTAATGCTGAAATAACAGCTATTTGAATATAATTTGCGTAACTTCATAGAATCAGAGTATGTTTTCCAACAGAGACTATTTCTCTGATAAACGCGGCTTCTTAAGAAAGAAACTTAGCTAGAAGATAGATCAGGCATTTCTCACATGATGAACCTCCTCACAGAAAGAAATGCTTCACGTGTAAACATGACCAGAAAATAAAGAATGGAAGATTTACTGATTGACTAAGGTGCTTAAAAACCATAACAAACCAAAAGAATCTACTTTTAGGACGAATAACTCATCCCACATATCCTCTAATAATAGCATCGAAAGCAGCAATGTGGATATCATACAGAATACAATTATTAAAGGTAAAAAGAAACTTGAACTGCAAAAACAGAATCAACTGGGGGAAGTGAAACCTTAAGCACTAAGTCTTAGGTCCAGCGGAGAGTATCTCTGCAGATTACAAAGTGAAGAAGTGGCAAGACCACTAAATAAAAACTTGGTACTCTATCCGCCTGTACTTCAACATCTATGAGAATAAATAGCTATCTTTGATGTCCTAACAAGCTGCCAACAACTATTGTTGCATTTAACTTCCTAACAAGTTCTTACAGCACATACCTATATCCCAGAACATAAAAAAAAGTGCAGAATCCAAAAAAATAGTCATATAAAGAACTTGAATTTTGCATAGGTCACAGTATTGTATGAGTAGACTTACGAATTGGTAAGTTGGAACAATTCATAGCAAAAATATTTCACAGAACATAGCAAGTACAATGGACAACTATTTAGGTTTTCATCACAATTGAATGAAAGGCCTTGATCACCTTATACATAAATAAGATTTAAACTAAGAAAGAATCATGAATCATTTGGGCCTGGTCACTGGTGTATCTTTTACCAAAATCATAGAGAGCCGGATAATCATCCTACCATTACAAGTAAAGGGTAAATTATTATTTTTTTCAATTCTTTCCATACGTTAATAACTATACGTGGAAGATAACCATTTGGTTGGTCAAGATCGCTGCTTGAGGTTCTATTTGAAAACAATAGTCTATGAGACATGTATGTAAGACGTAAGTAATAAGTGACTGTGGGTTAGTCTATCCGAAAACTGAAGGCCAAAAGGTTTCATTTTCCATTCCATGCAAAAAAGAAAAATCATAGCTGCAAGCTCCACTATTTAGCTTTGGAAAGTTTAACAATAAGGATGTGCAACGAGCTGCAGGGCTGAGGAGAAGAGGAACTGACGCTTCAAGATTGTATTTCTGGAGTATGTCAGGTCAAAACCCAATTTAGGATGGAGACGACCCAGAATGTAACCACTAACAAGAAGCTAAACATGAGCAGAAAAAATATTGATAAGAAGTAGATAATTCAAAATGCTTAGTGCACTCACATATATCGATTTCACATAATTAAACATAGTTAGATAATTTCTTCAGAGCATTTGGTGAGGGCATAAGAAATCATATACTGATACCAGCAAGGTTCAATATTGATCTTACAATATTAGACATTTCGTCAATTTTATTTGGAGAGATCCTTTCATTTGCGCAAAGCCAGCAGCATACCTTCAAGGTTGAAGGAAGTTTTTCCGACCCTGCCTCAACCCAAATTAGTAGGGTGTAGGATACATGAGTCATCTGTTTGCATTTTGCTACATTTTTTGACGAGAAATGAGGTTCTATGACACCAGAGTTTCTCTATGTATCACGTTTATTTCACACGGGCGTACACTAAGCAGAATAAGAAGCCCTTCACAAGCACCTGACTAATGTAAGTGTAAAACGGCAACTTAGTCTTATCAGGCTAATAGATCATTTGCCTTCATTCTGTCATGTTTTGGAGCTAAGCTGACATTGTCATAGGGATTATAGACGTTTAAAGCCTCAGACAGTAACGAACCAAAATCCACACAATCAGGAAATACCACAAAGTAGAAACATAGGTTTATCTAGATGCATTATCACTATTGATTAAAACAAAGAACTCATTCATGCTAAGATTGATAAAACATGAATTCCCGAGATAATAACAATTAATTGAGTGATCATTTGGATAAAAGAGCTAACACTGATTAAGAAGAATACCTCAACAGGAGGAGTAGCTGTCTCAAACAACAAAGCATCAGGTTTATCAGCAACAACCGAAGATTTAGTCCACAAACAGCTAAGCCCACACCGACAAGAGTACAAATTATCCAAATTATCAGGAATCCAAGTCCACCCTTTAACTAATACACTCACATGATCCATCTTTAGCTCATTACACTTCAACTCACCATCATCAACATTTTGCAAAGAACCAGAAGAAGAATCCAACAACAACCCATTTCCTAATAACCCTTTATGTTCCCCCCTAAACTTAGCACAACCCACTTGAGAATCCCATTTCTTAAAAGTGCTCAACAAGTTACTAAAAGGGTCGGGCTCGGAAACTGAGATGGTGGTCAAGATTTGATTTTTCGTTGATGGGATTGAAGAAGAAGTGTGAAGTGGGAAATCAAGAAATCCAGAGAAGAATAGAATGATAAGTGTAAAACCCAACATGATTGTGATTGCAAATGTGTTGACAGATTTCAATTGCATTTTTCAGTTCAAGAATACACAAAAAAAATCACCTTTTTTTTTTCTCTCTCTCCCTCCCTTGGTCACTCAAGGAGAGAGAGGGGAAGGGGTTATCAAAATAATCGATCTGAAATTGATAATTGGTAGTCTTGAAGGGGCAGTTTTCATCTACCGGTGGTTAGATTAGTAAAATTGTTTGATTGTTCGACCTAATATTGTCATGGAAGACTAATATAAGCATACTGTTTAGATTTTGGAAGAACCAGGAAAAAGAGAAGACAACTCTGAGATCACCATGATAAAAATTAAATTTGCTTCTAATAAATTTACATAAAATAATGCCTCCTTTCTTTACGATTTATATGATATAGTCTGCGATAATTAAACAGCGTACCGTCTATTGTAACTTAATAGGAAAATGATTTCAAAATTAAAAAAAAAATATGAAAGTCGATTATTAGGATGGAAGATTAGTAATTAGTGAAAGTAATAGTCTAATAATCATATTTTTTTATTATGGTATTACTTGTTTCATTTGGTTCAATTTTTGTATATTTTTATGTTGTTGTCCTCACATTTGATTTAAGTTGTTGAAAAATAGTATATGAACAAATATATAGAGGTTCAAATGAACCCTTGACGCCCACGTAGGTCCAAACTTTAACTTATGGAATAACATTGAATTTGTTGTCATTGTTAGTTCGAATTCTGAGTGTCAATTTTTTGTAAATCTAATCGTGTATTTAAGTATTTTTAAAAAGAAAATAATTTGCATACTTAGAAACTACAGAAAAAGTTCAATAAGTCACAAAAATTTAACAATTTAAAATATTAAAAGAACATATGGCATGCAAGCAAATACACAAGGCCAGAAATTCTAGCACTTGGTTCTTAAACATAATGGCACAACAGTACTATAGATAAGAACCCAGACTCTTCATCTCATACATTTCTAGACAAGACTTGTCGATACCCTAAACTTAGCTTCTTGAAAGATAAGATTACATGGGGTAACAACTCTTACCGACTCAGTCATACTCCAATTCATCTGGAGTTACCGGTCGTTTAAGAGGGATGATAGACTTCTTTTCTACATCTCGCGATAGTGCCTTTCTCATATCTGAAACACCAAACAGGAAACAATGGTCATAACAGTGACATCATAGGAGCAAAATGCAAATGGAAACTATATCACAGTAAGATGCAGCAACTTACCCAAACCATCTTCCTCCCCTGAGTAATAGCGTAAAACTCGCCTATATACTACGTAATCAAGCTGGAAAAGATGAAACAGTTAACAGGATTAATACCAAGAATACATATCCATCCAGATACAACTACAACAAGAGTAATCTCAGGAAAGGTTACTACCTTCTCGTACATCTTTATAGCTGGTGTGTTTGATGCTCTCACAAACAAGTCCACAAAGTAAGCCTTATCGCTACAAGAATAAAGTCCACCTTAGTGCCAAGCTTGGACAGCATATCACACAATTATAAAGATCTAGTAGCCACAAACATCGGCAAAGTTTACAAAAAATGTCATTGTTCTAGCCTGACACTAACTTTATACCATCACACAAAATGAGTGATTTGATCAAATTAAGCCCGTTATAGTTTAAATAGAACAAAGTTCAGAACTAAACTCTAGGAAGTTCAAAAGAAGAGAAGGTTACTGATCTCACTCTACACTCCATCATATTATACTTCATGTTATCATGCAAAGACTGGTGAAGCCAAGTAGCAAAAATATTAAAGAGAAAGAAAACAAAGCTGAGCTCCACAAGGTTAATTTCTGCTATGATGAAACTGATCTAATTGTATCACTTCACACTCAACTTTTATGCCATCACACGAACTTACATAACTTTTTTTTTGAACCTCGTAACTTCATAATATAAACTTTTTTTAAAAAAAAAAAAAACTTAAAACTTACTCAGCATAACTATGCCTGGAATAACAAGACTAAGGGAAGTAGGATACCACTTTCAGTATCCACCAAACTGGAAAAGAAAGGAGGTTCCAGTATCCACTGTACCAAGGTCTGAATAAAAGCACCTAGAAGGCTAAAATGATGTATTTATTCCCTAAAAAAGGCAAAGGACGTGCATAGATTTACGACCCAAAATTTGCAGTACTTGTACAAGTATATGGTGTTACTATGCATTCATTAAATCAGTTAAGCTTCTATGAGCAGAATTCACAATGTAACTACACAATTTCTGTAAGCTACAATAACATACAAGGAAGTAAACCAGAGTAGAAATGTCTGTAACATGATTTTAGGAGGTCTAGTGAAACAAACCACAAGCTAGATTAAAACAAACAAGTGGGAAAACTGTAAACAAACTGCTCATGCCAGGTGAAAATTAAATACAACTCTGTGGTAATCTGCAAGCCTATACATAAAAAGAACGGTGAAACAACAAAATGATAAATTTGGAAAGATGAATTCCAATAATGCAACCAGAGTTCATGAGCCACAGTTTTTACACTGTATAGGTTCTTACATCTTATCACTGACTTCTTCCAGCAGGTACATCAATTTCTTGGCTAATTGCTGCCTCCGATATTCAGGAGCCACAGTTACTGCAGTAACGTGACCATGCCAAGATTCACCTTGCCCTTCAACTTTTCCCATAACTGTACACATGAGCCAGACATTAGTTTTTAAAAAAACAAATGTTTTCTTAGGAGTAATTTTTCAAAACATTGATAACATACCAAAATGCACCAGACAGTAACCATAATAAGACAACTACATAATTGACATTCTAACCACTTTGTCGCCCATGAAGAGGCCAGAATACACCAGCCGGTGCCAAACTAAGTACATAATTTACATTCTAACCACTTTGTCACCAATAAAGTCCGACATTTTCCTTTTTAAAAGAAAACCAACAACGAGTAAATGAAACCTCTTCACGGAAGGGAGTATAAGAGAATGATTACTTGCATCTGCCTTGGACCTAGGATCTGTTGCTGGAAATTTTCAGAAACATAGTGTTAGCATCTAGGGGAATAGAATTAGTGAAATCCGCCTACACCAGCCCATGAAATCTACTTTCCATCCCCAATTCTTGAAAGAGAAATGAAATTCAGAATGCTTATCCTTGCCATTCCTTTCTACAACCTATTGTTTGATCTAAATTCAATCAATTTTTTGCCAACTATATGACAAAAAAAAAAAAGAAGCTATAAAGTCAAAGTTAATGTATACCCTGCATCAAACAGTGCTGCTGAAGAATATTCCTCGAGAAAATCCCATTTCCTCCATCCACCTTTAGAAAAGAATTTGCTCTTGAAAAAGAAGGTAAGAGTTAGGGGAGAGCTTTAGGCATATTATTTTCAATTCTTGCAATTTTTGCTTAATCTTCAGATTTTCTGTATTCTTAAAGGACTCTAGACTCTTTCTACTTAATTGGCTCCTATCTACCACCATTTAGTCCTACCTTCAAGCTTATATTTGATATTTCTAATTTACTTAACTCAATCTGTATATAAATTAAATAATCATCAGTCGTCTGCTATATCACCCAAAAAAGTGATGAACTTTAAAATCTACACTGGAATAACTCACTGTATCCCATGATGTGGCCGCCGGGAGCTTTTGCAACATGGAAATAATCCGGCCATCTTGCCATGTAAGTCATATAAAATGACATGTTGAACTGCAGCAGATATTAAAACTCATCTTTAATTATAACATAAAAGGCACTAAAAATCATGCTAAAATTCATCCAAAATTCACAAAACACTACTACAGATCATGTTAAAACTCCTTTCAAATTTCAAACAGGCATTCAGAATCATCTTAAAACTCGTTTCTAATTCAGAAAAAAACTACTAACTATACAGTTTTCGTTAATCATTTACAAACAAACAAAAAACTAAATTTAGGGGAAAAAGAGAGGGTCAATTGGCTTACAGTTTCAGTAAGATGATCCAAATTCACTGACGCGAAGCGAAGCAAGTCATTGCAGCTGAATCTACGAATCGTCGTCATGCTTTCTCTCTCTTCTTCGTCTCTTTCTCTCTCTACGGAACTCTTCTGGTAATCTGTAAGGGCGATAACCAGTTAATGGACCACCGATGCCCCTTTGTGAGCATGACGGCCCAAAATAGCATACACCCGGCCCACAAGGAATGTTCTTGGTATTTTTACAATAAACTCTAGTTTATAAGATAAGTTTTATACGATGATGACCTAGTTGGTTTGGTGGGTGATCATCCGTGTGATCGATTTCATCTCAATGCCTCTTGAATCAAATCTGTCATATGAAACTTGTCTAATGCGATTATTTGCAGGCTATTACACTAAGGAATGTTCTTGTTAATTTTACAATAAACTCTAATTTATAATATAAGTTTTATACGATGATGACCTAATTGGTTTGATGGGTGATCATCCGTGTGATCGATTTTATCTCAATGCCTCTTGAATCGAATCTATCGTATGAGACTTGTCTAATGGATTTTTTGTAGGCCATTAACACAAGGAATGTTCTTGTTAATTTTACAATAAACTCTAGTTTATAACATAAGTATTATACGATGATGACCTAGTTGGTTTGGTGGGTGATCATCCGTGTGATCGATTTCATCTCAATGCCTCTTGAATCGAATCTGTCGTATGAGACTTGTCTAATGCGATTATTTGCAGGCTATTACACAAGGAACATAATTTTTTTTTTATGGAGAATTATTGCAAAGAGTCACTATCATAAACTTAATTATATTCCATAGTTATAGTTTGCATATTTACAGGTTGTAGGTACAATTTTACTTGTATAATTGAGCTACTTTTATATAAACTCAAAGTACAAATTTTTAAAACAAAACACACATATGTAAACTTTAAACAGATATACACAATTTATTATACAAACGTCTAAATTGAAGTGTGTGTGTGTATATGTTGTTTGGTGAAATTTTGAGTAGCATTGTATATAAATTATGTTATCCTGTAGGAGATGGGCTAGTTGCATACTCTTATTGATCAGGAAATGGAAGGCCCTAGCAATTTGGCATTTATGATATGAAAATATCATCAACATTTGGTTATGGCAGTCAACATCCCATAACTAACTAACCGAATTTGGTCTCCCTCTCATTCACTTAATCTGCCTGCATCCCTCCTTACCTTGTTTCTTCTCTACTTTGTTCACACATTGAAGAAGAAAAAAAAAACAGTAGCATCATTTGTTTCTTGACTTTATACCACTACACAGTACGTCCATCAGTCTTTATGATAGCTAGTAAGTATATTCGTTCATTCTTGACGAGAGGTTTTGAAATTTACATGACGGCCATAACAGACATCATGATCAAATTTAATTCTACGTCCCATATCTTTTATTTTTTAAAAATTTATATCATTTTAAAATTTCTTGCGATTTTTATTAATAATATAATTTAAAAAATGCTTTAGAGGAAATAAGTACAAGCAAGCAAGGAAAGCTAGCTAGGTCTTACCTTCCTAGCTAGTTTTGGGTGATTGGATTAATTAATTAATTAGCATGTCTTTGACACATGTTGAATAGTGTGTTATTAGGGATCTCATGCTATTGCGTGCTCTGAACTTGTGTTTACCTAATCATCAGCATGTACTTGCAACTTACCATGCATAAGATGACCATGAGAATAATGATCAATCAGACATCATAATATATATTCAAATCTAATACATATATACATCTAACATATGATGAAAGACATTGAATTTGAGTTCGAATATCATTGGCTGTTAGGTTCGGAGTCCAATGCACAATGCATGATGATATAATAATGACCTAGAAAACGTAACGTAATGTTTTGTTACAGTAGGACGTGAAGTTTGAGCCGTAGTATATGAACATGAGTTTGAGTTTCTATGCTAAATGAGTATGTTCACCCAAATCCCAATGTGCGCGCTATCGTAGTAAGACCTAGGGTTTGAGTCTTGAAGCTCGACGTTGTAGTTATGAGATTGTATTTGGCATATATATGCACTAACGAAGTATAAATGTTTCTAAATACAATCGTTCAGTATTCAAAATTCACAAACATCAACTAATAATCGAGTTTGAGACACACACAAAGAAGTAGAGAGGAATGGATGCATTTGAATTTACTAGATTAGGGTATGGAAGGAAGATATGAATTTTCCTGACACCATGTGCTTCTGCTGAAGCTCTTCCCTGCATGGAGATCAGAACCATTGCATCCATCATATAACCAATAAAACCCTAGCAAACTTAGACTCTCCCCAACCCTATTTAGCCATTTTGCATGGACATGATCACTCCATCAGTCACACATTTTGGCCTCATTCCTTATTTACTCCTTTTGTACTTATTACCCTTATCTTCTCTACCCATATAATATAGAAAGAGAAAAAATATACTATAATGAGCACATGCACTTGCTACACTTTATAAATAGACCCTTCTATATATAGTTTTTCAAACTTTATAATGCCTAAGAAAAATACCACTAAATTAGAAGATCATGAAGGTAGAATTAGATCAAGAACACCAAAAGGGCATTTTGTTGTGTATGTTGGAAGTGAAATGAAAAGATTTGTTTTGCCTACATCTTACTTGAAGAATCCATTGCTCCAAAACTTGCTTGATAAGGCTGCTGAAGAATATGGCTTTGATAATGGCAATATCATCCTTCTTCCTTGTGATGAATCCTCATTTCGCCGGCTTATCGCCATGTTACCAAGGTCTAGCTCATTCAATAGTACAAGAATAAACCCTAGCTAATCATCAACTAACATGATCTCGCATGCTTAAATACTCCGTACATTTTAAGTTGTATACGTTGAAAGTGTAAAAGACTATTTACACTATGATCGGTGTATATATCTTTAACTTCTTGTAATAACATGTTATGGGTAATATATATATCTTGAGTTCGACCTATAAGTTATAAATCTTTTAATTCTAACTAAGCTAATTAATGTCACAAAATTAGATATTAATCTAAAATTGTTGAAATGAAATGTTAAAACAATAATGCACCTGACATAGCACCAAGCATAGGATCCTTTTTTTTTCCAAGTGGAACAAACATCATAATAAATACAATAGAAATTAAATACGATGACAGAGAGTATTTAATTACGTGTGTTGTTGAATTCATAGTCAAATATTATCACCGGTCTTTTTATTATATATAGTAAGTATATTGAACCATCAATTTTAAGTCAGTTGTTGCAGTTTGCAGGCTATTGTGGATTGGCATTTTCCTACGACAACCTCTGCTTGTTATAACAAAACATTAAAATAATTTATTTGTTTTTTTTAAAAAAAAAACCAACACGATTGGCCGGAAAGAATAACGATTTCTCGAATAATTTGATCATTCAATACTTTTAAACGTCGTACTCCCTTCGTTTATTTTACTCGTTCGTGTTTGATCTTGTAGGCAATAGATAAAAGAATAATTTTATTATATCGCAACTACTATTATTAGGGTGATTTGAGTACATGTTTTAATGCTTTCTATGTACGTATGGAAACTTTGGCTGGTTTATGGTAATAATATTTCACAGTTTATTCCAAAAAAATAAGTTATAATAAGTCATCTGAATGGTGGAAATAATTATATTTAGAAATAGATATAAAATAATAAATTATTTTTTTAATTTTTAATTTAAACACATAAAAAATGAGCGTGTACTCGTAATATAGAGTAGTAGCCAAATAAATGTGAAAAAGAGGGAGTACTTTGTACCCTTGCTTGCAGCCTCATCGACATCGGGTCATGGGCGAATTTAACGCCATTATACAGAACACATGAATTTATGATCTCTTTATAAAATTGTGTATTTTACGTATACTTTTAAAAAATATTATATTATCAAAACTGTAAATTAGATCCCAGGTTCATTATCTGTATAAAATATAATTATACTAAAAATTAATGTTTTTTCAAAAAAATAAAAATAAAAATTAGTGATTATTTTCATTGATGTTTTGATTGATTGGTGTGTAAAATAGTACTAAAATGTTTTCTATCTGGAAAAATTAAAAACTTTTCTACTATTTCAGTAAAAATTTATTTTTTCACTATGAATTTTTCTATAAAAAAAAAGTGAAAAAAAACTATGTTCTATATAGTACAGATTTATCACTAATTTATAGTAGGAAAACCTATGTTTCAAGTAGTGTATGGACGTAACGTAATGTAGCTAAGAGGTAATTTGATTAAATTTTCCTTATTTCATTATTTTTCTCTATTTAATATTTATCACTTCTGTATCATATCAATATCTCTCAATATTGTTGTCTAATGGTAAGAGTGAAAATAAATAACTAATTATTCTTGATTTTCTAAAATAACAAATTAAATATTATAAATAATTTATTTTTTACTAAGCATGAAAAGTATTTTATAATGGAGGGAGCAATATAGTAAATATCATATTAGAAAAAGAATAATTTTATCCCCAAAAAGAGAAATTATTTACAAGTATGGGTTATCACATTATTTTCATACCCCCTTGTTATTTACTATTGTTATCTATATATTTTGATGATATCAAAAAGGAAGAAGTAGTACTTCAGCGAAAACACTATTTAGTTACTTTTTGATATAATTAGGAGCGATTTGGTGTGGTGATAATGGGAGTTAAATTCGGGATAAATTTTAAATAGCCTCTAATTTCTTGTTTGATTGTAAAACTTTAAGTTTTATCTTCCCTTGATAATTGGTTTAGTAATTTGAAGATAATTTATTCTAAAATAAATATACAAATAACAAATATATCCATTTAAACCGTATGTAATTTTCACATTTATGTATAATTATTTTTAAAAATCTTCAACCTCCTGAATCTTAAATAATTCTTTTACAAAAGATATTACTGAAAAAAAGCATGTAATACAAAATTATAGTAAAGATCTAAAACATTTATTTTTTACTAAACAAAAATATTAGCACATGTCCTCCCAATTCCCCCACCCATCCCACCTTTGCTACATTATTTTAATGTCATGTATAATAATATTCACTACTCGTTATTTTTATGTTAATTCTTTAATTTTTTTATATTAAAAAACTATACTATATATCTATAACTTTTACATGTGAATCTATTTGACTAATTTTTATGTTTATATATATTTTGATTTCACATAGA